TATATATATATATATATATATATATATTGTGTCATTGTGTTGAAATTTCTTAGTTGTTAACACAATGATGTTCAAGTTAATCTTGTATTGTACATTGAGTTGTTCATGTTAAAAGTATTGGTTGTGTTGTAATGTTATATGTTAATAGTGTTAAATGTGTTGTAAAATGATGCAGTAAAATATAAGATGTCAAATTGTACCTTGTTGCTCATAAATTTTGTTGCATATGTTGTTATTGGAATTGTAACTTATTCTTATATATTTTCATGTGAATGAATCGTAATAATTATACTTAATATGTGAGTAGAGTAGGAATATATTTTCATGCAAGTTGCTTTATGGGATACGTTGAAATTGATAACACTAATATTTTGTGTTACTTTAAAATAGTTAGTTGATTGTAAAAATTGATTAGCTGATCACTTAAGTTATTATTTAATTATTATATTTTTATTATATGTCTGAATAGTTATTTCATTTCATATAAATGATATATAATACATATTCAATTAACAGTAAATATATAATTATAAGTTATTAATCATTTTTTATTATTAATTGTTAAGTGTAGGATCAAACGGATAATTACAAAATAAAGAGGGAAAAAATATATATAACAATGTATTTATTTTATTTGGTCGTAGAAAAGTAGAAAGAAATGAAAAAAGAAAGTTAGGTTCTAGAAAATATTCAAGTACAGCCTAGAAAAAGTGGGATCTGAGGCTGTCAGTTGAATTTTTCAAAAAGTTACTATCTTCGGAGGTAATATTCATTATAACTTATTAAATTATGAGACAATTTATGCATATCGTATTAAGAAAAAAGTAAAAAAAACTTGTGGGGCAACTGTCACAACGCAGATTCCTTATTGCCTGTGAGGATGACAGAACAACATGAAGTTAGGGGGCAAAATGCTGTTCTCCAAACCCAAACCCAACATAAAAAACGGAGCACTGGTCTCAAATTAAATGTTGAAAATAATTGGGTTTATGAACCGGTTTGCTAAAATGGATTTTATAATATTTATTTAACAAAAATTATATCATACAAGTATAAATTAATCCTTAATTATTATTTTTATTATGATATTGATAAAAATATCTATCATAAAAGTATTTATCAACTACGTTAAAATTATCTTTTTAAATGTTATTTTTTCTTAAATTTAAAATTTAAATTCGAGACTTAAGTTTTGAGAATTAATTACAATATTAATTAAATTAATAATAATTATATTATTATAAAAATATTTTGTGTTTTGAGGTGATATTTTTTAACTTTGAGATTTTTAATTTTACATGATAGATGTAATTTGGTTTGAAAACTCTTCACTATACACTGAATTATTATATCTTGTAATTATTATATCTTGAGAGAGGAGTACATCAAATTAAGTTACTAATACAATGTGATGCTTCCTATTTTAAAGAATATTGCATTATGTTGTTCAATTTAAATCTCTCTAAACTCTTATTTTTTATTTATTTTAATTTATCATTTGTTGATATAGTTTCATTGATAAATTATACATTATAATTTTTTTGTTTCCATTTTCTGTAACATTGGACATATGGCTTATGATAGTATAGGAATTCTGATAATATACAAGCCAAGTTTCTTCCGGGCATCTTTTAGCTTGATCTCGACTTAGAATGAAGGGTATTGGAACATCATTTGTGCTTTTTTATCGCTTGGAAGTTGTTCAACTTGATTGTTACAGATGAGTGCTTCATATTTCTATAAATAAACATCACACGAGTGCGTCGACCGATTGCTAGATAGAGACTGGAGTGTTTCAATTGATCGTATTTTGCGTGAAGGCAATAATTTATCTGGTATTTATTGTTATTGATCCTCTAAATTACAGATATTAATCCAAGATCGATCAATGAGGGGGGTCCCACGTAGATGGTACCAGAAGATCGGACCGTTCATAATAAATCAACTCGTCTAGCAGCCCATAAATGAGTAATAAAGAAAGGAGACTCAAGTGTAGTATTTTACATAGGAAATTTACCTGAAATCAATCAAGCTCTAAGTAAATATGCTGTGGCCCATCACTAGTAATGTCCACTTAAATTCATACCAAACCTCTTGCACAAAAATCATTGATATCGAGTCTACGAAAGATTGAACAAGGTTATAAAATTTTCAACAATTCACACGTCATGTTTAACTAAATGAGCTACGCCTATTCTATTTCTTTCTGTCGTTGATGTAAATTAGTACTATACTATGGAGTATCTACACAAACATCACCCATAGATGAATTGGTAGCATAAAATCATTAATATTGTTCATTTTCATTGGGTTGCATACAGTGCACACGCTCAGAAAAATGATTAGGCTTAGCATGAATAGTGTAGGGCTGTAGGCCCTAGGCCTAAAGCTGTATGGAAAGCTAAGTTGTTGTGACGCTTTCAATTTCAATGCTCCTATATAAATAGCACTCTTCCCTCCCTCCACTTGCATTCCAAATTAACCAATAAAATTTCTAGTAAACACATGTCCATGGCCATGCTTAGCACTTTAGGAAACGTTGGTGTCTATAGTCTATTATTATTATCATGGTTTCTTGTGTGTGTTTGGGGACGACCCGCCACTTTTGTGCAAGACTTTCAAATCACGTGGTCAGAATCTCATATCAGGCAAATTGATCAAGGCAGAGCCATTCAACTCATTCTAGACCAAAACTCTGGTAAGCCATAGTCCTTAACTCTTCTCTTTGTTATATTTAAAGTGACAACTAATTACCATTTACCAGTTACCACACATACGCTGCATCATTTCTACATCATTTACAGGTTGTGGTTTTGCTTCCAAGAGTAAGTACATGTTTGGCCGTGTTAGCATGAAGATCAAGCTCATACCCGGGGACTCTGCTGGCACTGTCACTGCATTTTATGTAAGTCTAGTAGTGTGTTTGTTTAACGCCTATTCTAAATCCCAATGCTCAGTTCAATGGAAAAGATATCTCCAAAGCGTTTTTGTTCGACGGAGGAAAATGAAAAACCAAACAGGCCTTAAATCTCCTCATCACATTCATTTACTATGTTTGAAGAAAAAAAGGTCTATACTTTGTTTTCACCATGAGGTATCTTAAGTTACGCTAAAATATTCGAATCAAAGTCAAATAACTTTTGTGTTGGATGAAAAATTTTATATTGTGCATTACAATTAACTTGTTTTAGAGTAAAAACATATAATTAAGCAGAATTCATTTTACAAACACTACACACTTGTTTCGTGGATTACGGTAGATGAACTCTGACACGGACACAGTACGCGATGAGCTGGATTTCGAGTTCTTGGGGAACCGTAGTGGTGAGCCTTATACAGTGCAGACAAACATCTATGCTCACGGAAAAGGGGATAGAGAGCAAAGGGTCAACCTCTGGTTTGACCCTTCTGCGGACTTTCACACTTATACTATTTTGTGGAACCATCGTCATATTGTGTAAGATATGTAGTATATAGTAATGAACTGAGTTTAGAATACAGCAATTTGGTAGTTAATAATTAATGTATTAAAATTGTACGGTATGTGCATGCAGGTTCTACGTTGATGATTTTCCAATAAGAGTGTACAAGAACAGTGAAGGAAAGGGAATAGCATACCCTAGGATGCAAGCGATGGGAGTATATTCGACATTGTGGGAAGCAGATAACTGGGCAACAAGAGGGGGGTTGGAGAAAATTGATTGGAGTAAGGCACCTTTTTATGCATATTACAAGGACTTTGACATTGAAGGGTGCCCTGTGCCAGGACCTGCCAACTGTGCCTCTAACCAAAGTAATTGGTGGGAAGGGGCTGCATACCAAGCCCTTAATGCCATTGAGGCACGAAGGTACAGGTGGGTTCGTCTCAACCACATGATCTATGATTATTGTCGAGATAACTCACGCTTCCCAGTTACCCCACCTGAGTGCCATGCCGGCATTTAAACCCAAAATTCATGTCGTTTCAATCATTCAAGTACACCCCTATCACACCATACCTCTTTAATTTTCTTCAAAAAATCATATTCCACTAAGTTAATTTCATTTATTCCACGTGCTCAAGAAAACAAAATGTAGAACAATATAGCTTGAGGTAAATTATTGTGTCCCGCTACCACATGGATAAGTTGATAGTTGATCATATAAACATTTTTTGTTTTGGGGAGAGGCCAAATGATTTATGATTCTGGTGTCTGTGGGGGCGAGGGCTGTGTTCGAATCAGAACGAGATAAGTCAAAAGGCATTTCTGGATCTATTATGCCATTGTATTTTAGTGCGCATTATTGATGGAGGATATTGTTGGGCTTGTGATGTACCAAATTTCAGTGTTTCTGAATAAGCAAGGAGAACATTAACATGCTCTGTCTATCGCATGAAGCTGGTCCTTCACAATTATATTATTTTTGCATTTCCTATGAATCTGAGTTCAATGGTCCCATGAAATTGCTGAGAAAAGGGCTTACGTCAAAGTTTATAATCGCTCCAATTACTAACTGAATTCATAATTGAGAAATTAAGATGTATTGCAATGAATGTTTCTAAAATAGAATTAATATAAGAAAATAATAACAGACCATAGAACACTACAAGTTACAATAATTATAATTACAGTAACAATAATGATTAACCGTCCTTTCCTTGATTATTATTCTTCAAGCAATTCAATTAAGCTCTCAGCTTAAAAAATTATCAGTCAATTAAAGATCAAATTCATTAGTGTAGTTTAAATCCAATTCCTCAATGTTGACCCGTTTTTTCTAACCATAAATCCTAATTCCTTAAGTGTTCCTAACCAAATCAGGCATTAACATGAGAGTTCTACCCCGGATCTCTTAAATCTTATCGGTAGGATCTCGACAATTATGGTGGAATTCTTCATAAATAACTTAACCAAATTTCTAATTATGAGATTGACTTTATTCCAGTTCTTCAAGAATAACTATTTATATCAATTCAGTAGAATTGGATATGTTTAAATGCGCCATTGACGTGCAAGTCAGTGGCTACATCTTATCACTTTATCAGAGCATAGCTTGGGATTTTTAAACACCCTACAAAATATTTAGACATGCATTAATTAGTCAGTAAGGCCATCTTCAACAGTCTTGCTTTTATCATAAATGGTTTCTAAAGCTTGTGCACTTATGCTACAAACCAAGTGAAAATCTCTTAAATTCATTCCCCGTGAGTCTCCAAGTGAGCCTAGAATGAAGATTGAATTAAAAATGAGTTATCTTAGATTTTAAGAAGAAACTTTACTAAACAAACACCAATATACCACAAAAGGTGCTATTTAACGGAGAATCATATATTCAATCCCTACTGCGTGCGAAAACGATTTGTGTAAACCAGTCAAAGTATTGCGAGCGGGATTGATACATGTTCACTCTAGTTCAGTGAGCCGGAGATACTCGGACCTAGAAAAGTATATCAGTAAAGGTTCTAGCTCCATCACAATCACCAAGCAAGAGCCAAAGACCAGAAGTTCTAGGACTTTAGTTAATTTTTTAATTCAATAAAATACTAATATAATAGCAAACACTTTATTTTTTAAGCATTTCTTGTTGAAATATCCAAAGAAACCTCCAGATATGATTGAAAACTTCATACATTCACTGAAATCTATCAGTTACCTATATATTACTTCAAACGAATTACGAAGATAAATCAGTAACTAACCTATCCACGAAATAACTCAAAATTGTAGGACTCTTGAAAACGTGACCGACAGCAACAAATTCACGCTTAAAGTCGTGGCGTACAACAACAAGTCCTAAATAAATAGGACTTGACTTATTCACAACAGAAAAAGCAACTTATTCAAAGCAGAAAATAATGTACTAATTAAATTCCAACATTTCTAACTCTAATTTCCTAACAAGTTCACCTTAGTTTCTATGTTTTGTCAATTTAGTGTACTCTGGTCACTTGTGACAAGATGCGAAGAGCAAGAATAAGCTCTTCCAGAACCACGAAATGCTAAGAAACTTGTGGTTAAACATGTATAGTTGTTGCAATCACCAATGCATTAACAAAAGTCAACTATCTAGATGTAATAGCTACTGATGAGGCTTTTTTCTTCGGTTCTTCGGTTGGCAAGTACCTTTCCAATTTCCATCCTTCTTTTCTTCGCGTCTCATCAATGTCACTTAATTCTTCTCAATCGTTAGATGAAAATTATGCAAAGGAAAAAGACTACTGCTACTAGTGGAGGATCAAACTGGAATGACACAGGATTGGCTTTTCATTAGTCCTTGAATATAATTACAGGTTAAAATACATTTTTAAGTTCTTATTGTTCACATTTTATCATTTAATTCCTACAATTTAAAATAGTTTTTTTATTTAATTTTTATATTTATCTTTTTTAATTATTTTTAATTCCTAAAAATTATGATAAATCTTTTTAGTAATTATACTTATAATTTTTTAGTTATTGTTATTTTTTTTAATATTGTCTCTTTTGTAGAGATATAATAGAAGTATTAATTGTTAATTTTTATGTGTATTTTAAATATTAAGAATTAAAATATAAAGTAAATAAAATTATAGAAATTGAAAAAAATATTTTAACAATAATTATATAAATAATTCACTTGATCACTCCTCAAAGATCATATAATCCTTCTAATTAAGAATAGGAAGAATCCTAAGTACTCAATTACGACCAAGCATCTTAAACCATTCTCTCTCGAGTTTAATATCTTCATATATGTCATATGAGGCCTGTTACTCATCACAAAAATGGGTTCAATCGAGAAACAATATGTTCATTTTTTTGGTCCTATGAAAATTGTAATGCTATTCTAACCACATAAAATGGCCAGGATGTCATTTTTCTTGGGCAACCATTTACACCAAAAATATAAAGTAGTTCAGAGCAAATTTCAAGTAGGAGAAGAAAACAAAAGAACACCAGCATTACTGCAATGGCCAAAGATAGTTTTCACTGTCACTGGTATCACATATCCGATTGGTAAATATTATTCTCAAAAAACGTTAGCATACTTAATATTTTCTTTAACTAAAGTTGCATCATATTGATTTTTTTTTTTTTTGCGCTTAGCATCAGACCATCAGTACGTGGCAACAACCAAGACACATAATATAATTCAATCATATTTTTTTCATAATGATTTACTATCATGGGTGTGGTAATAAGCTCAAGTACAGCTTGAGAACTGATATTTTCAGAAAATCTTGGACACATTCGGAAACAACGTATCACTGCACCACATGTTTTATCTATCCTTGATTTCATATAGAATAGCATATCTAGGGCAGAAGGCACCGATTCCTCCACCTCCCGTGCTACGTGTATTCAATTCTTCCTTTTGTGTATATGTATCAATGCTACCTAACACTCGTATACATCTAAAATCATAGAGTAATCATATATGCACACAGGTAAAGTATATATACCTAATTGATCTTTCATTTCTCATCCCTTTTTTTATTTGGGTGCTTATAATTATACACACACAAGTTACAAAATGTGTTATCAATATTTCTCTCTCTCTCTCTCTCTCTCTCTCTTTCTTTTTTCTTTTCTTTCTATTTTACATCATATCAATTATTTAACTTTCTTATTTTCTTATATCTCTCAAGATACACTTGAGGAGTGTCTAATAATATTTTCTTTCTTCTTGCTATATCATTTGGCTTATTACATTTACATGTATTTACAATTCTCTGTATTTAATCTCTTTCCCTGTCACTGTCTATAGACACATGATGTCCATGGATATTTTTTTTTTATATTTTAAAAAAGACCTGTTGAAATAAACCTTGCATCTTGGTGAGTCTTGAGAAGGATCAGACTCGTTATGAATCTATTGTATCAGCCTTTGCATTTATAAGAGAGACTAATGCCATGACTGAAACATGTAACTTGTTAATCTCGTGGCAGCAACTCTAGCCACTACTTCTGATATCATGAGAAAACAAAAATGCTTTAACATCATCTTTGCTGAATTTGCTAATATACTCTAATCTGTCAAACTCTCTCGAGATTTTTTTTAGACCCTTATTTCATACAATACATGGATAAATTAAAAACCCCGGAACAGACGTTGCTCCTGCTCCAAAGATGATGCGCGCCTCAAAAATTGTATTAGCTGCATAGCCTGCATTAGAAAATGAGAGTTGTTAAGTTACTCTTAGAAATCTAAGGATTTTGATGTTGTATCAATACTTGAATAAGTTTAAACATACAAAGGAGAGAAAGAAAAGGATTCAATAATAGAACCAAAATCCTTAAATTCCGGAGGTACCGTAGAATTTCTCTAAAACAATAATACCAAGAAAATAACTAGAGCTTCACTGGTTGCGGCTCAAAATATTTCATTAGTTGCATTAATATATTTCAACTATCGAATCAAATTGTTGAACCTTCCCTGTTTTTTCCCCATGTGCAATGCAATGAGGAGGGATGTTGAGGGCAGGGGTATGATTTAAAAATTAAAAATAACATATTAATCCTATGCTTAAATATGTTATTTTGGGGACGGATTTCTCTTAGGTGTGGGGTATTTGTTTTGTAAAGTTGAGTCACACTTAAAGGTCACTTTCTTAATACATATTTCTTTCTCTTTATTTTACAGAATTATACATGAAACTTATTGAAATAGAATTTAATTTTAGTAAAGAAAACAAATGTGAGAGGCAAAAGAAAGAATAAAAGAAGTAGTTGATCGGACAGCAAAATGTTGGTATTAGGTGCAGAAGAAGAAAATGAGACAAGAACAGAGAACATGTACAGAACCCCAAGGCGCAAAGAGCAGGCACAGAAGCATCCTTTCCGCTACAGAACAAGAGAAAGTATCTGCAAGATTCTCTTTCTTGCCACCTGCCAATGCCATTCTCTCTAATCTCAAAACAGACTGCTCTTTCCTTAAAAAAATATTTATTCACGTACCAACATTTCTCACATTCATCCCAATTCCCAAAACACATGATTTTAACACTTTTTTATTACCCAACACAACTCGTAACTGCTCTCATCAACTGTCTAAATAAACCATTTACAATAATCTAAATTTAAATTTACCTTAATTATTCTAAACAAGAGGTGACACCACATCATTCTTAAAAATTATTTCTTTTAGGACAATTATTTGGCTCCCATTCTTTTTAGTTCAGCCATGTTCTTATTTTTCTCAAAAGAGAAATTCTGACAAAATCAGCTCACATAATAAGTAATATAAAATTGTTTATATATACAGAGACCACATATAAATTAAACTCTTATTTTATGATTAATTAAATATTGCTTACACTAATAGCATAAGAAAAACTTTACTGTTATTTAATTACAGGTCATTATGCGATAAATTTGTGATTTTATAATAACTATCTTTAAAGTACAATGATTATTA